TTGGGGAAGGGGTGGAGAAGCCGATGCTATACACGTTCAGCCTCCTTAGCACCTGTGCACCGACCTCTACAGCACTTCTGGAGAATCTTGGTACTCTACAGAATGCGTCTGAAAGATGTGTACAATACAGTGGAACTGACAACATATTTGTCTATATTGTTCACCAGGCAATACATTCAAAGAGGTCAGGAACCATATGTGTTTTATTCGTATTGTGCCAGATGCTCAGATACCTAGCACCTTATACAGTTGGCATTAGGGATGTTGGAAATCATCATTGAATACATGAATAGTAGTTACAGCAGGGGTTAGCAGAACTTAGGATAAGGAACTATTTGTCTGCTACCTTTCATCTTTAGAAGACAGTTAAGATCAAGTAAAGAATGATCTGAAAAGAGAGAGGCTTCAAAGAGACCAGATAGCTCAGACATGAACTCACCTTCACCCTCAAGTCATCTGAATTCTCTGAGAATGATCAGTGTATTCCCTGAATGGCATGGCACAGATGAGGTAGAAACATTCTACACCTGGTTCATCCATCTAAAAGATTTTCCTATTTTAATAAAGGGAAGGATTTTATTAAGGTGTTCTAGAATGCCTTTTTACAGTAATCTGACTTCAACAATTAAGTTCAAGATTAATTTCCAGAAGGAAGATGATTTACATTATCACTCAGCTCTTAAGGACAGAGGCAGAAATATGTGTATCTTTCTAGACTCTTAGAATGACAGGGCTCTGAGACCACATATGGTCAAAGTCCTTCGTGACATCAAGTTTATACTTAGTACTAGTCATTAGCGACCAGGGACTCTGTGGGCTCTGCTCCAATGTTTGACTGTATTGTTTGAAACAAGACAGTTTTTCTTTCATTCACTGAAAGGGAAAATCTTGTAGCAAAAATCACTGTCATTCAATAAACTCACTATTGTCATTAATGTAACTCACAAACTAGTCGCATCCTCCACTACACAATATACAGACATGTGGCTAAACTCTGTTCTTTAACAGAGTTTCTATAAAATGATATTATCCATGGCGGCAAGTCAAAGTCCATTACATTTAAAATATGTAATCACCACTATGCTTTCTAAAATCATAGACTTTAATATACCTCGAGTAGAACAAAAAATATACACAGAGATGAACATAAAATGTTAACACCAATTTGATTCTCTGATTTCAGACACTTTAAAAATAATTTATTGATAATGTTCTCTGTTTTGCTGCCTTCTCTTTAAGCTCTGATCTTCTCACTTAAGTCAAAGTGCTGTTGTCAACTATGGCGATGGAAAACCACATTAAGAAATGAGCTTACCTACTTTAAAATCAAAGACAGCACAATTACTAACACTACAGGTCTACCGCTAGATAATAATCATGTAACAGATGATTCAAGTACTATTATGTTAACCAAAGAGAACTAATTTCAGAACTGTTTACCACCAACACCTGTACCTTCTAAAAGCAGCAAAAGGTCAAGAAAATGAAGAGTGCATCTATATTCTTCATCCCATAGGCAGGAAGTTCTATCTGGTTAGATTTTAAGATAGATAAGTAATACTGTCAGTTAATTGCTACCTGTACACTTCTTAATCCACACTCTGAGCGACACTTAGTTGTGGCCAGTTATTACAAAAGCACCAACGATGTAGGCACTAAAATTAGAATATGCAGCTGCTACTGCTAAATTGATTTTCTTTGTGACCAGAGGCAGAAATGGGTATCAAAAGTAAATCAGTCTGAGAAGAAGAATAAATACGATATAAGGAAGCGTAAACATTCTATTAAGCAATGTAAATTATTACAGTTTAATCTTTCTTACAGAGCCTTATGTCCTCCTGGAGAAGGGCAACACATTCAATTACCGTCCTTCATTAGGCCACATTAGCTATTCTGCAGCTAGAAGGGCTCTGCAAATCTCCCTTCAGAACAAGAATACCCTATGATGGAGAGTTCTGGAAGGCCAAGACACAGCAGCAGAACAGCTTCTTTAATGCGCAGAAGGAGACTATCATTTGGCAACCCTAACTATGTATTTTCACGTTATTTCTTAGCTACTTCAATTTCCTGGAGCTATTAGGCGTGCCGTATCAGGTTGTGGGGTTTTATTGTATTAGACTGGACAGGATAAAACACACCTCATGTCCTGAACAGGACACCTGGCTTCTTTGTTCCTTTCTTCACCCCAACATTAAGCAGCAACTCACAGGGCCAGTGGGAAGAAATGAATAGCATTCAAGTACATCTATCATCAGGTAATCGTTTCTAAAACTCCTATACAAAGGTCACTTCTAATTTTTTGCTGTGATTTCCTGTCATTTGCAATCTGAGAGCCAGGTCTTCTAAATACCCTAAATTAATGTTTAGAAACTCTCATTTTCTATTTATTCCCTAATTATGCTCCATGTTCATGTCCTACTCAAGCTTATATCATATCTTAATCTGATAGTCAAATGAGCAAAAACGTTGTCTTCTTCAATAAGTCATTAGAGAAATTTGGGAGAGAAGATTGAAGATGTCTGAAATCAGAATAAGGTTTTAATTTATTAAGTTATGACTTTCTCTCTGTTAGCTATAGTCACTAAGACTTTTTCCAAGTGTTGCCTAGAATGTTTTCAAAGCCCCCTTACTCTTATTCTTTCACCAAAACTCTATGCCCATGTTTCTCAATCATTTCTTCACAACTGCTGACCTCAATCCCCTGAAAGACTCTTTTCAGACTTTTTTCTGCTTACTCTCCCTCCCTGTGAATGTTAATACCACATAAATGTATATCCATTTCTATCTGCCACCCCTTTGAAGGAACGCAGACCGTTGCAATATCTGACTGTGTTCACCCTGTAAATCCAATTTCACCCCACTGGGGACAATATTGCCCCTCTTGAAGAATGCATGCTCATTTAAGAAAATGCTGCCATTTGAAAATTTTCTCAATAATCCATTATGAATATTAACATTTTTTACTCTATATAAAACAATTTTTAATGTGTAACTATCTTTTTCTCCTTCCTAGTCTTATATGTAAAATGAGATTGACATTGAGGAAAGCACTGAGCAATCAGAACTCATCAAAGAGTGAGAGAGTGAGTGTGTGTGTGTGTGTGTGTGTATACGTGTGTACGTGGACTGTGAAAGTAATTGCAAAACAGTTTTAACTAAAATAGGAAGAAATGAGAAATGCAGGGTAGTTTTTGAAACTTTCAGAAAACAAAGAATTTCTCATATGTACTGGACAGATGTATAGAGATGTATAGAGTTTTAGCAATGGAAACTAAAATGAGATTACTCTTTTAAAAAAATAAATAAATAAATAAAACCCTGCTGAGCTACATAACTTGGTTTTAGTCAGAATCTTGGGTTAATGGGCAATGGTTTCAAGCTTTTCATTTTCTGTCCTTGACTTCTTGTAACTGATACTTGGGAGGCTGAGGATTACAAAATTATGGCTATGAAGTCATGCAAATTATAAATGGAATTTTACTCCATGTAGCCAAAAGGACATATAAAGTGCAAATAATAACAAACTTAAAAGATCAACTAGGAGATCTGTCTCTCATGGATACATTAAAGAGTAAAAACAAAAAACCCACAAAGGTTTGGTGTCCGCCCTTAACCTTAAGTTTTGTAAAAAAAAAAAACAAAACAAATTTTTTTTAAAGTGCTTTTAACTAAGACAGAGAGTTGTCAAAAATGCACAGCTGGAATCTTTTACATAAAAACACTATGAAAAAGTAAAATGACTATGTGGCTTCCCCTGCTACACATCTACACCACTTCATATCCATAGTCTCCTCATCATCAGATACTTCAATGAAATCTTGGTTTTCCTGCAAAGTCCAAAAGTAATTTAGTAAATTTCAAATTAAGGACATACCAAGGAAGAAACTGATACGGGAGTAAGATGGCTGATGTGAATTTACCAAGACAGTCAAACACCGCCAGCTGAAACAGTGAAGCCATCAACACCTGCTCGGTGGTCTCCTTGAGAGATGTGTTAGGACTTTAAGCAAGGAGGAGAGAAAGATAACTGATGTAGGGAAAAAAAAGATCCAAAAGCCTATGGGTCAGTTCAGGTAGATGGCAGAACAGCTGCAAATTGCTGGGAACGTGACTACAGAAGGTTAAACCAACTTCGGATTTAGATGGAAGCCTCAGAAAGTAAATAAACTCAACTGAGAGTCTTTGGAACCAGTAAACCAGGTGTCGTCTAGAGTAAAGGAAAACAGACAAGCTGGCTTGGGACCTGACTGAAGACAGCTGTTTGGGAGCTTTGCTCCTGACAAATAGTTGGAAGGCTTTCTCTGCAGGGAAACTAGCAGCAGAAGCGCGGTACTCTTGGGGTAGTGATAAAACCCCAGAAGCCCTAGTCTCCCAGACGCTGAGCTTCTGAGTCAGGGTCAACTTCAGTAGGAAAGTCACTTAGGGCCATAGGGCAATAGGCTGCACACCGCCTTCTCCTGAAAATAAGTAACATATGGATAAATTGCCACCGTTCCAGACATAAGTTCTGGACTGAAACGCACGGTTTCTCTTCTCCCTACTTAAAATAAATAAATAATAAAATAAAATAAAATAAAATAAACGTATATTACCCAGAGAAAGCTACTCTTGAGTCCTTCCATCTATCAAAATTGCCCGAGAAAGGTTGAGTCCGACCAAGGGGTGGCGCAGCGTGCAACTTTCGGCAACTCGGGGCTGAGGCACCGCATCCTGGTCCCGGAGGCTTGGACACCATCACGACCTACCTGGGGCGCAGCAAGACGAGCCACCCGGCTTATCCTATTCCACAGCGCGCGTCCCACGTTTCTCAGCCCCGTTCCGGAAACGCAGCTGTCCCAGGCCTGGGGACAGGCAGGAGACCTCCCTCCCCTGACAGTGCATTCGGCCCGAGTTCATTTGAAAGATCCGAAATGAAGGGGGCGGCGGGGGGGACACATGCAAGGACAGTAACCAGAGCAAACAGAACTTTTTAAGTTAAGAAGTGAACGGGGTTCTCTTACCGTCGCGCCGGAGGTTGGCGTGGCGCAAAGCTTTGGTGGATGTGCCCTGCGGGGCTGCAGAAGCGTCCCGACAGCCGCAAAAGTCGGCGCAGATCAGGGTGTAGACGAAGACCAGCCGGTGCATTTGGGATCCGCGACCTGGACACACTGTCGCTCCGAGGAAAAGCCGGACTCCGCTCCCGGGACCGCCGCCGGGCTCTCCGCAAACTTCCCGCGCGCCCAACCTTCCGGGCGGGTGTGGACGCCGCGCTTCCCCGCGGTGCGGGGCCGACACACGGCGGCGGGAGCAGCAGCGGGTTGGCGTCGGTTCCCCCCTCCCAGGCGCGCACCTCAGCCGCCGGCTTTCCCAGGCCCGGCCTAAGCGCGCTCCGCCGCTGAGCATGCCCAGTGCGACCTCCGGCCGGACTCTCCCCGCGGCCCCGGGCTCTGCCCTCCCCGCTGCACGTTAAAGGGAGCGGCAGGAGGAAGTGGGACAGGCCGGACTCCCGGTACTTCCCCGGAGGTGACTGGCACGTCCAGCCACGGGCCGCAGCTCTCCGCCCTGACGGCGGTGCGATGCGGGGTGTCATTTTTACAGTGACCAAAATGAGACTCTACTTAGTTAACGTTTCACCGTGTATGTGAAAAAATACAGTCACAGAGGGGCTGAGTTCTGAGTTTTTCTTTGAGCTCGGGTCAGCGTGAAGTTTGGGTGAGTCAAGGATACTTTCTCGGGGAATAAAATAAAAATAAAATGACATATCCTTTGCCCACTTTTGAATGAGGCCAACAATCATATGAAAAAAATGCTCATCGTCACTGGTCATCAGAGAGATGCAAATCAGAACCACATTGAGATACCATCTCACGCCAGTTAGAATGGCGATCATTAAAAAATCCGGAGACAACAGATGCTGGAGAGGATGTGGAGAAAAAGGAACACTTTTACACTGTTGGTGGGAGTGTAAATTAGTTCAACCATTGTGGAAGACAGTGTGGCGATTCCTCAAGGCCTTAGAAATAGAAATTCCATTTGACCCAGCAATCCCATTACTGGGTATATATCCAAAAGACTATAAATCGTTCTACTATAAGGACACATGTGCACGAATGTTCATTGCAGCACTGTTTACAATAGCAAAGACCTGGAATCAACCCAAATGCCCATTAATAATAGACTGGATTGGGAAAATGTGGCACATACACACCATGGAATATTATGCAGCAATCAGAAATTATGAGTTTGTGTCGTTTGTAGGGACATGGATGAATCTGGAGAACATCATCCTCAGCAAACTGACACAAGAACAGAAAATGAAATACCGCATATTCTCACTCATAGGTGGGTGATGAAAAATGAGAACACATGGACACAGAAAGGGGAGTACTAAACACTGGGGTCTATTGGGGGGAAAATGGGAGGGCCAGTGGGAGGGGGAGGTGGGGAGGGATACCCTGGGGAGAAATGCCAAATGTGGGTGAAGGGGAGAAAGGAAGCAAAACACACTGCCATGTGTGTACCTATGCAACTGTCTTGCATGCTCTGCTCATGTACCCCAAAACCTAAAATGCAATAAAAAATTTAAAAAAATAAAAAAATAATAAAATAAAATGATACCACCCAGAGAAAGCTCCTCTTGAGCCCCTTCACGTATCCAAAAATGCCTGAGAAAAGGTCGAGACTAACGGAGCGATGGCACGGGTTGCGATTTTCACGCGCTCCTGGTTGAGGCGCAGCATCCTGGCACCAGAGAGTACTGGACACCAAAATCACTTCTCCAGGGTGCAGCAAGACGAGCCACCTATCACGCAGGGCTGTAGATGTGATGGGCCATGGGGTGCAATGTGCAGTAAGGGCAAGAAGTCTTCACGGGTGTTTTATATACACTGGCCCCAGTCCTTCCAGAGGAAGGGACAACAGGACAGAGTGGGGTTGAGCAGGGACAGACTGAGCAAGGGGAAGAAGTCACAGGAGAACACGGTGCTCACTTGCTTTCAAGGCCTGCTGGAAGAGGCATGGGTCGCTGAGACTTTGGGGATTCTCCCTATTGCGTGGGTCGCTGAGACTTTGGGGATTCTCCCTGTTCTGTGTCTGGAAGCTCAGCAGTCCAGAGACTGGTTTAACATTGTGCATCTGTCTCGCCAAGGGAGGGGACTGTATTTGGGAAAGGAGTGGGTCCAGACTCGCTGCTCACTAGTTTTGTCACCTTGAGCAAATCATCGGATCTTTTGAGACTCAGATTCTTTACCTGCAATTTTTAGTTTGCAAGGCTAAGGCAAGAATGACGTGGAAATCTGTGCGGCACACTGTTTTGTCTGTAGCCGAATCCAAATCCAAATTGATACAATTTCTCGACTTCTCGATGATGAGATCTAGAAGATAAAATTTTCAGTCTTTTTCAGCCCTTCTAGCTCCTGAAAGTCTGGGATATGGGAAGTGATATCCATACACAGGGGGCTGTGCGCGGCTAAGAAGGGCAGGAAGTTCTGGAAAGGATGGTCTTGTCAACTTATTATATCATCCAACAAGGACTAGGATACATATGTCCCTTCAAAGTAGTCGAAGATCAACACGTTTCATCTCTATTGGCTTTTTGGTCTCAAATGGTATTTTACAAAATGTAGATTTGTGGGTCATGACATCAACTTCAATACCAGAAGGATTTTTTAAATAAATTGTTTGGAATACAATAGCTTAGAAATTTAATTATCAGGGTTCATTGAAGATAATATTGTTTTATGAATATTTTGTTTCATACACAGTGTAATGTAATAGTTATTTCTTTAGGGCGTGATCAAAGAAGTTTGAAAGCCCCTGGAAAAAAGGTCTAATTGCATTGTCTCAGGATATAATGAAACTCTGGAAGAGACCCTAAGGATCATTTATTAATTCAACAGGTATTAATTAAGCATTAGCTTTTCCCCTTATATTGTGCCCTGGTCTAAAACTCTTGGGAATTAAATTGTGAGCAAGAGACAAGGTTCCTAATCTCTTAGGGTTTACATTATAATGGATAAAATGGAACATAAACAAATAAGTATATAACTGTGTTAACAAGTGAAAGGGTGAAGAGATGGATGGGATAGGGGTACAGACTAAATGAAGTACGTGATATCAGTTTTTAGAAGTGGTTGAAAATGCTCATTCAATTTCATACTTAGTGTCTGATATGAGCATATAGAAAAACTGAGAAAATTTGCAAATGACATAATTATGAAATGTATCAAGATACTTTCATTATTACAACAAATATCAAAATGCTAAAATTGTGTCTTAATCTTATATAAAATAATGAGTTTTAAATATTCAGTGTGGTGTTGTCCAAGATACTAATACTTTGTGCTCACAAGGCATTGTGAATTCGTAATTTCAAACATTTTAATCAACATGTTATTGATCTTTAATGTCAGCAAATATTCAAAATCAACAATAAAACACAAATTAGACACCTGAACCCAATCAATTATTCTGAACCCAGTTTTAAAATATCTAATAATTAATTCTTACTAATCAATTGGATTATATCAACTAAGGTATCATTGTACACAGAATACTATTTAATAAAAACTTTTTTTTAAGTGGAAAAGGTCTGGTACAAAGATGGAAGATAAGATTGTTTCAATTTATTTTTTACATGTGTCTCAGACTCACTTACCAAAATAATGAATTTACCGCTACATTTTGAATGCTTACAGATCAATTAGAAGAACAGGAGCCAACAAAACGAAATCATATTTATAAACATTTATTACTATTCAGATTAATGTAAGTCAACTATTCTGTATTTAGCCATTGTTCAATGACATTCATATAACTAAAAGAAAAAGCAAATCTATGGTATAGAAGAATTTTTCAAAACGTGAGAGCAACTTTTGATAGGTCCATGTATAATGGCATTTATCCCAAACAAATATTCTGGCAGTGAATTGATAAAGGGTAGGTTAGGACGTGACACTGCTTTTATCATGTACTCTTTTCCTTTCATTAATAGGACACAAGAATAGTGTTTTCCATTGCATTTCCAAATATCCTTGGGCTTATTTCACTACTTAATAAAAACCACAGTGGAAAAGAAATGAAACGTGGCCTGACGTTTGAAACCTTTTTAAAGCCTTCTCATCTCTCCAAGTGGCTCACCCCAGTGCTATTTTTTTTTTTTTTTAACTAAACTCCTACCGGTCTTTAAATTGTAACTTTGTTTGGACAACAGTAGTAATTTTCAAGGCTACTCCGTTGAAAGAGGACATTCCTCTGTTGTTCATCCTGCATTCACTAGATCTAAGAGAGAACGAAGCACTAAATGACATTCTAGCCGGGCGCGGTGGCTCATGCCTGTAATCCCAGCACTTTGGGAGGCCGAGGTGGGTGGATCACGAGGTCAAGGGATCGAGACCATCCTGGTCAACATGGTGAAACCCCATCTCTACTAAAAATACAAAAAATTAGCTGGGCATGGTGGCGCATGCCTGTAATCCCAGCTACTCGGGAGGCTGAGGCAGGAGAATTGCCTGAACCCCGGAGGCGGAGGTTGCGGTGAGCCGAGATCGCGCCATTGCACTCCAGCCTGGGCAACAAGAGCGAAACTCTGTCTCAAAAAAAAAAAAAAAAAAAAAAAAAGAAAGAAAGAAAGAAAAAAAAAAAACAATGAAACGACATTCTAATTTCTGCTCTACCAGTAAACTCTTGAGCTTGGTAAATACTGAACTTTATGGGACTTTAATACCTCCCTGTAAAATGGGAGTGTTATGGTAGATCACAGTCAATACTTCTTTCAGAATTCCGACTATTCTGTTTTACATAAATCTTCCTTTCACTCATCATTTTTTTACCACGTGGTAAATGTGTAGCTTATTATGCCCAAATACATTTAAAATAGTTGTTAGAAAGCATGGTTATATATAAGAATTAAATGTTTCTACAAACTTTAATAAGCTGTTTGGAAATGTCATTAACTAATATATACCAAAATGAAAGCCAAAATGTTAGTTTTCCGTCTAATATTAATAATTACTTTTGCTTTCAACCTTGTATTTTCTTTTAAAGATCATTATTCATATGTGTAACAATATAGATGAGAACTTTTTTGTGGTAAAATTAACTAAATAGATGAAATATAGTTGATTAAAATTATAATGTAAGTTTAGAAAAAAGACAACATTGATGATTTAAGATAATTAGTAAAATGATTTTGACCAATAATTTGGCTAGGAAGATCTGGATTAAATTTGGTTTATTTTCAACATTAAAGAAGATAATATATAAGTATTCTGGGTGCTAAAGAATAAAATTAAATATTCATAAAATGACAAACTAAGGTAAATTTTCTGAACAGTGCCAAATGACTTTAACCGCCTATAATACCAGCATCGTTACAGAATGTTTTGAAACAAGCATGTGTAAAATACATTATTAAACTACATTGAGTCATCCACAAGTAGCACTTTCTTATTCAAGCCACCCAATGCTCTCCTTTTCACAATCAAAGTTATCCTTTTGTAAAATCCTTTTGTGTTTTAACTGACTTTTTTGCCACATGTATCGCATTTATCCTTTCATTTTTATT